AGTTTAAACAAGTGAAGTTTGATGTATTAAAAAGGAATGAATCATAGCTTCATTCATTACACATTATCAAACTTAAAATTTTAGAGTACATACTGTATATCTTCTTTATAGAAGTTCAAATCTTACAAAATTATAAAGTATATTGTTCAGAAATAATTTTTTAGTATGTTGATTAAAAATTAAAATTATATTAAAAATAAAATATAAGAACGTCATATATAATAGTAATAAATTAAATTATAAAATAGGCCAAAAATGAAAACCTAGATGAAATTTATCTACAACCAGATACGTATATATATTTTCAAAATTAGTAAAAGAAGAGGTAGAGATTTTTAGTATGTCAAACAATTGGAAATAATGGACAGCCTTTACTATCTACTTAAATAGGGGTGACATTCGTTAATAGGGTCATATAAGTTTCAAGTGTACATCACTATGCTACATGATCTGTATATTGCATTATGTAGTGATCACCCAAAATCAAATCATCTTCTATCACCATATACTTGGCTTCCCTTATCTCCTACCATACCCCTACGCCTCTCCCTCTAGTAACCACCATACTACTGTTGTCTGTGTCTCTGAGTCTCTGTTTTATGTCCCACGTATGGATGAAATCATATGGTTCTCACCTTTTTCTAACTGAATTATTTTGCTTAGCAAACAAGCTGAATTGTTTACAGTATCAGCTTTAATGTCTGGTGATGTGTAAAGGAAAAGCCAAAAGCCATATGTAAGTTTGGGACCCTTTCAACAGTTTTAAGAATAGGGCATTGAAAACTGCCAAGAATCACTTTTAGTTGTTACTTTTTCACCAGGCAACTATTCTGCTAATAACTGCACCCTTAAACACTTACAAAGAAACAAGTGTTGGAAAACATCTCTCAAATCTCCATAGTGTGATGCTCTTTGCAGAGGATTCGAGGAAACAGAGGGAACTGTCAATGCTTGACACCAACTGGTCAGTGGCACCTGTTTATACAGCTCATCACCCCAACCAAGTTTTATGCCAATCCAGCATTATCCCATTCACATTGAGCAGCCTGGTCTGATGCTGATCGTTTCTCTTGTGATAGGCCAGTCAAACGTTTTCTCAAATAATTTAATGGTGTGACAACAGTGGAATCTAAATCTCCCGCGCGCCACCCACCCCCTCCCCACCCGCCCCCCCACCCCCGGCTCCCACGAATTGTCTTCTCAAGGCAATACCATCTTTTTTCCCATGAGTTTATAACACTATTCTTTCTAGGTGTTTTCATAAATTGTATGTCACTTCTCACATCCAATGTCCCCTATAATTTCTGTATTTTTCCACAGCTGATTGTGGACAATATAGATTGCAGCTCATTCTGTTTGCCACATTGTCTGGAAACTTCAATCTCTTTACAGTGATCCTTCCAACTGATTGTTAGAAGTTATGCCTTTCAATCTCCATATCACTAGGAACTTATTTTAGAAATCTCCCTCTGAGTTAGAATTGTTTGTGTTATTTCCATGCCTTACAATCAATAGTTTTCCAGATTATTTTTGTATTTCCTTGTTTTCAGATACTTTGCAGATTGTTTTCATCAGGAAATTTCATCCTATTTATTTTAAAGATAAAATAATTTATTACTTTATATTGAAAAGGCAATAAATTATTATTGAGAGAAATTCAGATGCATAAATATTTCCTATCCTCCATCATAAAATATACATATTTATGGAGGAAGCCTGAGATAGCTGTAGAAAAAGAAAGCAAATGTGAAAAAGTGACCTAATGCATATTCCAGAGTATGTATCCTCATTATTATGCAAATAATATATGAATGAAATGTTCAGAATACTGTGCAGTGCAAAATAATAGATAAACTACCTAGTTTTAATCAATCTTTTACTTATGCTAAATTAAAGGCAACATACTCATAGCACATCATACATTTCTACATATACAAATAATGTTTTATTATTATAATCCTATAAATGAGAATATACTTTCAACAAAGTCAGAAGTTATAATCAACTCAAATATAAAATAGTATTATATATAATATGATCTTAAATGTTCAACATGGTTGGTAGATGCAGTTTGTTGATTAATTATATACTTCAGTTTAACAATGAATATTTATTTAACACCTCTGCTGTGTGTGTATGCACAATATATGATAAAAATAAAGTATCAGGTACAGTACTTACTAAATTCTTAAAAGTTTAAAATGCATTTGAGCCAACAATACATTCTTTCCTGAAAACAATAGAGGAATAAACAATCATGTTATAAGTTGGAGAATAAACAACTTATTAAAAAGTAAGTAAAACATTGTTATAATTGAGATACTATAATCCAGATAAAAGGTTCTGAATACAAACAAAATAGGAAAGCCATCAGAAAGCTTTAATCTTAAGTCTTTCATTCATTACAATATACATAATTCTTAATTGGATAATACTGCTTCCTAATATTTATGTTCATAGTCTGATAAATTTATTGCAATTTTAATATAATTAAACCAGTTTTACTGTTAATATAGTTGCAGTCATTATTTACCAATCTCATACACACACATGTGTAGCTATAGTATCACAAATATCAATGGTTGATAAATATTATTGTAAAAGTTTTATAGAAATATTCATAAACTAGAAGAAATTCATAAGAATGTACAAAGAAATGTCCATGTATTTGAAACTGAAACGAGTATGCCAAACAAAATAGAAGTTCAAATGACCAAGGTGTGTAAGAAAATTGCTTGATTACATGTATAAGATTAAGAAAGTCACAACTTAAAATTAGATTAAATTTTCAAGGAACATCAAATGAAATGGAAATCAGTTTTTAAAGATAAGGGATAAAATGGGTATATAAGAAAATGTAACCTTTTCTATCCCAGGAGACAAAATTTCAAAATTCAAAAACACAAAGAATCAATCGATAATTAATATAAATTTATTGATTAATAGTAAAAATAAAAAGGGATAGTTTACTCTTAATACTTTCTTCACTCTGAAATGAGATGTAAATATTCATACTGTCAGTAATATTTTATATTGTTTCTAACTTTTCAATATAATATGTAATGGAGAAATGAACATCTCTACTTTTAAAGCTGTTCACTTACATTGGTTTATTACTTTGGGATCATTTCCCAGGAATTGCATAACTTTTTCAAATAATATGAATATATTTATGTTTTCAGATGCTTATTGGTGAATGGTTTTAATAAAGTGGTAGGTATAAATTTATAGCTTGTCTAAAATTTAAGAATTGGGCCAATTTTAATGCACATGCACTATAACTGAGGATATTAAACATTGAGAAAATATGTAGCCGAACATAATATAGCGCCATGAAAAATAATTTGAAAAAATATAATGTGGATCATTTCTACAAAAATACACAATGACAATAGTATCTCAAAGGCAAGAAAAATGTGATTATATTGATAACGCAAGAAGCTACTGGATTTTCTATCAAGATTACAAGATGGCACTAAGTCTAGAATATTTTAAAGAAAATCATTTCAAATAATTTTAAACAGATAATTCTTATGTTACATAATCTGATACTTATCATACAATTTTTTAGATAAAATAACTGGTGACACTAAAATTACAACTATTGCTACTAGAAATAATTTGTATGCATTTATACTTAATACCAATAACCACAAAATTAAAGTAAAATTTCATTCACAATAATAACATGGGCTACATATTATTTTGACATTTACTTTATAGAAAGATCCAGTAAGAATTTATGGTAGAAGAGAAGACAATCAGTTAGCATCTTATTTAGGGATAAAGCAAAAATAACTTTCTTTTGTAAATAGTAGGCACTGGACATAATTCAACAGAAAAGGACCATGTAAAAGAAAAACGAAAGCATTAAGTAGAGATCCATGTGGGCCAACTTTTCTTATTGACTATTAAAAGTTACAAAACTTTAAAAAATGGTATTGGTACATAAATAGACCAATATGAATAATAAAGAAAAACCCACAAACATAAAGTAATATAGTAGGATATGTTGTCTAAATCTTGTGGTGAAAAAGATATGTTTTATTAAACAGGGTTAGAATAATTTTGCAGCCATCTGGAAAATCATATATTTGGAATCTTACATTACATACTAGTATAAACTCCAAATAGACCAAAGATTTACATGTGTAAAAACATTAAAAACATAAAATGAAAAAATTAAATAATACTTTTATATGAAGTATGTTTTATATTTAAGAAATAATTTAAGGAAATAATTTTTTAAATGTATGCTATAAAAAAAGCAAACAATCCTGACCAGTGTGGCTCATTTGGTTGAATGTTGTCTTGCAAAGCAAAAGGTCACTGGTTCAGTTTCAGGTCGGAGCATATTTCTGAGTTGTGGGCCAGGTCCTAGGTTGGGGGCATGTGAGAGGCAACTGATCAATGTTTCTCTCATATACCGATGTTTCTCTTCTCTTTCTCCTTCCTTTACACTCTCTCTAAAGATAATTAAATTTAAAAAATTAAAAATTTTATAAAGATAAATAAATAACTGCATATCTTTAAAAATCTAAGTAGATTAAATTTAAAGAAAACTTTGCAATTTGTATCAGAGACAAACTCCATAATATATAAATCTTGATAACATGTAAATATTTTTGATGAAAATCAATAGAAAATGAATGCAATATTATGGAAAAATCAGAGCTCACATTAAACAGATGTGAAATTTAAAATACTATTTAAACATATGAAAATACAATCTACCTGCTGTTAAAAAAGAAAACACAAAGTAAATGTGTAATGATACCATTTTCATTAACAACATTGTCACAAACGTTTAATAACGCTCTCTTGGCAAGGACATAAGGAAACAGGCAAGTAAAACAGTGATTGTAGCATCGTACTTCAGCCCTCTGTGATTTTTAAGGCCCCTAATATTTTTGGCAGTTGAATTAATTTAGGATATAAGTATAGGCTTTAATTAAGATATAAGTATAGGTTTTTTGTTTGTTTGTTTGTTTGTTTGTTTGTTTAATATGGAATGCTTCACGAATTTGCATGCATCCTTGTGCAGAGGCCATGCTAATCTTCTCTGTATCGTTCCAATTTTAGCTTCCGAGATCAGACCAGATCGGGCGCGTTCACGGTAGTATGGCCATAGACTCGTTCCAATTTTAGTATATGTGCTGGCGAAGCAAGCACTAGGTATAGATTTTAACTAAATGTTTCAGTTCCTTTGTTTGTCAGGTAGTTTATAGTCAAAAAATTAAGAAAGTACATTACTCATGTTCTGAAGAACTGCCTGTAAAGCAAGTTCCAGGAGAAATGTTTAAAAGAACACTTTGCTTGAGATGATAGAAACATGTAACTAGTTAAGTACAAAACAATGATAACAAACAGTGGCAATTACCTCAAAATGTCTGGTTTCTGCTTTTTGCTTCAAAGATAACATTACTGACACATGATTATGACATTGCAGAATATTGGTTCTTCAACCAAGCACCCCTTGTTCTCACATTATAATTTTGTGTTCTCACAATATAATTTTGTCAAGCAAGAGGAAAGAACTTCAGAGTCTTGAGGAGAGTTTGAGTTTGTTTTGCAGAAGGAAAAATGTCTTTAAGGTAGCTGCGACCAGCTGCTGCTCCGATAAGTCTGACTGCGCAAATATTTATCTACTATTAATGAACCACAGATTTCTCCTTGGTTTCCTGAAACTCCCTCTCCATTAGTACCAAGCTGCATTAAAAACTCCCTACTTTTGCTTAGGAGGAGAGATGGATTTAAGATATCTTGCTCTCTCATCCTTTCTCTTAGGCCTAATTGAATAAACCTTTCACTATCTCCAAGCACCGGCATCTTAATGTTTTGGCCTACTAGCAAATTGGGTTCATGACCCAAAATTTTAGGAAGTGATTCTGCAACAGTATTAGAATCTGCTTGTGTACTTACCACAATTTCAAATATGTACAAAAATTAACTTAATCATCTCATTTTGATTAAATTTTTGAAATATTTGAACAATTGTCTGGCACTATTTATGAGGCTTATTTATAACTGAAAAGGGCTTTAAATATGTTATATATTTAGCAAGAGAGGATAAAAATCATGATACAGTCATACCATGGAATAAAAATTGACGAATGTCCAAAAAACATTTGTAAATCTAAAATACGATTTTACTCACACGTAGGATACAAAACTGGACACAAAAAATGAATAATCAAGATAAACAAACAAACAAAAACTCATAGACATAGGCATCGATATGGTGGTTACCAGCGATTTGGTGGAGGAAGAGGTAGTAAAAGGTAAAGGAGTTCAAATATATGGTGACCTGAAGGTAATTTGATTTTGGGTGGTGGGCACACAATGCAATATACAGACATGTATTACAGAAATGTACACTTGAAACCTATATATTATTAACCAATGTCACATCAACAAATTTAATAAAAATAAAATAATGAAATTGCCAAGTAAAAATATTAAAAAAATAAATCTAAATATTTGAAATATTTGAAAATTATAAAGGAAAGTAAATGATCCATGAAAAAGAAAATTAGTGGTATGATTAATATTGCAAATATATGCATAATCACAAATAAATGAATTTTTGAAACTTTACTTAATCAGTATATCTAGAGGTGTAATATATCCCAATATGAAATATGCATTAAAACTACTATAATTAGAACATAATGACACAATACCAAAATAGATTAATAGAGACTAAAAAAAGTCTAAAAAGTGTTCATTAATAGATATTGAGAATATAATTAGTGTAGCTTTCTAAATTTGATATTAAAGACAAATTATTTAAAAAACATACAGGAGATATTTAATTAATTGATAATTATATTCTTATATCAAACTCCAAATAAATTTCAAGTGACAAGTTTCTATAAAATTACTTAAAGTTTTGATATGAGAATATAAGTTAATATTTAAACATATGAGATCTATAAGACAATGTCACCAAAAGCAGGTAAATATCATTTTGCATAGTAGTAACTATTTTATAAAGATAATATTTATTGGCTATTGCTACATGCTAATATTTTCCCCATTTTTTTCTTACTAAAACATGAAGATCTGTAGGTTCATAATGCTCCTTATAAATTAGATTAAAATACAAACATTAAACTATTTAAACTGTCAAATTTTTTATAATATCACAGAAAGACCCAATCTATTATATTAAAAAAATTCATGTTGTTACATGCGGCTGAATCAGCAAACAGAGAAAAAGATTGGTCATTATTTCTTTTCATTCTATTCTCTGCATTTGACTAATTTTTTTCCCTCACTATATTCTTGGTCAGAAGGAGTTGACAACAATTTCTTTAAATTTAAGGAGGGAGGTTAAAAAAGTTTTTTCCAAACATCAAACAAATCCCAAAGTCACAGCCTGATTGAATCTTTTTATGACCTAAGTTTTTTTATTTCCTTACTTCACTGGCAATGGTTACGCTAATGAATTTTATCTCGGCCACATGCCCCACCCTAGAAGCAGATGGATGGGGACGGAGAAAGACAGGGCGCTGTAAGCGTGACTGAGTCCAGTGGAGGAAAAAGAACAAATGTTCACTCCAAATATATGTGATAATTAAAGTATAAAGTTTTTTTTAAAATATTAAGAATATCCTCAAATCACTAAGATACAAACTTCCCAAGAGAAACATCAGTTAAGAAAATAATATGTAAAATAATATTAAAAAATAAATAAAGGCCCATAGATGTGTAAAGAAAACTCAGCACAGAGTATTTTAGTAGTGATGAATGGGATGGCTAAGTAAACCATAATGAGTCATGAATTTAGATCCCTAATTAGCCTATAGACTTTCATTGTTTTATTGTTAATTTCTTTTTATTTACTTATGGAGAGAGAGGAAAGAGGAGAGAGAGGGAAACATCAAGTTGTTCCACCTATCGATGCATTCATAGGTTGACTCCGGTATAAAGGAAAGTAAATGATCCATGAAAAAGAAAATTAGTGGTATGATTAATATTGCAAATATATGTATAATCACAAATAAATGAATTTTTGAAACTTTACTTAATCAATATATCTAGAGGTGTAATATATCCCGATATGAAATATGCATTAAAACTACTATAATTAGAACATAATGACACAATACCAAAATAGATTAATAGAGACTAAAAAAAGTCTAAAAAGTGTTCATTAATAGATCGGTGCCCTGGCCAGGGATCGAACCCTCAACCTTGTCACATTGGGGCGACACTCTAACCAATTTAGCTACTTGGCCAGGGCTGTGGTTGTATTGTTATAAGTTTTCATAATAATGTTTCTTGCTCACATTGTGAATAAAACAGTCTTTTGAATGAGCATATTAAGAGAAACAAAAAATATTTGCTTGGTTTAAAAAGTTAAGATATATCTATCACTGGCATGAAGAATACTACTTTAGTGATAGACTCTTTCCTATTATAATAACAGTTTGAACTCAATCTTACAAATTAATTCAGTTCATTAATTCTTTAAAGTTTTAACAAAGTTTTAAAGAATTTTGAATTAAATTATACAATTCCAGTAACTTCCCTTTAGTATGAAGTATAGTAAAAGGATTCCATATTTAAGTGAACTTAGATGAATATAATTTATTTTTATTTTTCCTTTCTGTGCCAAGCTTAGGCAAGCCACCAAATTTATATTGATTGCAGGGGTTTATATTAGTCATCATCTTATTTCTCACTACCCCTGAAATATCAATGGATAAAATGTTAAAACCAGAACAGTTTTTTTTAATGTTTCATCTGAAAACATGGACAGAGTAGATAAATAGAGATATGCAATTAATTGTCCCACCTCCAAAATAAAGAACAACCAAATAACACTAAAGGAGAAATAGAGACAAATAGCTGGAATTGGTTAAAGAAACTAAGTTATCACTATATTAGTGGAGGAGAAAAAGTGAGTCAGAAAATAAAACCTTCAAGAAATGAGGTTGAAAAAACCAAAAGTCCTGAAAAGACTAAAGTGAAAAGAAAAACTATGAGCTTTGAATGAGCTGGAGATTTGGATATAAAAATAGAGAGTAAATATAGAAGTAGCAATGAAGAATGAGGTGAGTGTTCACACCACCTCCAGGTCAATGGAATATTGAAAATGTTAGAAAAATATGGGGAATATTGGAAAACAAAAGAAAACTAACACAGGGAAGAGATTTCACTAATAAGTAAAGATTTCAGAGTAGCACTTTGAAATACAAGAGGTTGTCCTCATCACCATAAACACACACCAAAGGTACACTGGAAGAGTTCTTGGGGTGGAAAGGACAGGGAATTGAGTGAGACTAGAAGATTATAGGCCTGTATGGAGATGAGAGTCCATAAAGGAGACTCTCAAAGATGTCACAGAATTTGTAATCAAGAAGTGTTCTCTTCAAATTAAGGCACAAATATCTAAAAGCATATATGAGTAGTGAAAAAAAAAAAGTCAAGGTAGACTCCTAATAAAAATAACTGCAATAACAGCTAATTTTTCTACATTTATTTTTTTAAATATGACAATTATGAATAACTTTTACTTATATTTCATTATTTTACAAAGCCCTTTACTTAATCTTTTACACTTGATCTTTACAACTCAGAGGTACAATCGGTAAAACAGTCTCCACAATTATCCACATTTGTTTACTTAGTGAGAAACAACTGAATATTTGAATCTAGATTTTCTTGTTATATAACTTATTTTCTTTGTCTCAGATTTTGTTGTTTTGCATAATAATCCAGAACACATGGTTCATCAAATAGGAGCACCCCAGTTAGAAACAGAGAGGGTAATTTACTTTTAAAAATTATATAATAGCAATATTAGCATAATATAAATATATAGGTTAAGAACAAGAGTATCTATCAAGTATTTGTTATTTGAATTTGCTTTGATAATTATATGTACATTTATTACCTATTAAAATAATGGCATGCAGATATATTTTGAAATAACAATTTAAGAATGAAACTTGTATTAATAAAAATATAAATCATAAGGTAATGGCTAAAAAACTACTGGGATATCCTGACTAAAAACATTTCTGACCATTAAAATGATAAATATAAAGAATGTAGAAGCATTGGAGTGGTTATAATGTCTTGCTTATTAAAAA